TGTTCTGGTGTATCCAGCCTATCCCTGCAGGATTTTTAATGTGATGCCTTTTCACTTAGACAGCCACTAGAGGTGGTTCCTGTGTCAGCATGCCACGCTCTGCATGGTATCAATGCTACCCATAGTGGTCCATTGGACCAATGCATCTCTATGAGGAGATGCTTAATGGTGCAGCGCTGCGTTTTTGTCGTGCATGCGCAATAGCCTCCCATTGGATTGGCTGAGGTTATCAAAATTGATGATCTCAACCATGGAGGCAGAGCAGGGCGGGGCAAGCTGTGGCAAGACCAGCGTGGCTTTGAAAAAAAACTGAGTAAAATTACCTTTTCAGAGTAAGGAGAGGGGGGGCTTGGGGGCCTAAACTGTTATTTTGAAATGTTTGTATTTCTGACACTATAGTGTTCCTTTATGCCTTCCTTGTAAAATATTGCTTATTTTATAGAAACTGCAATGTTTACATTAAAGGGTTGAATGCACCTCTTGTAGCTGTCTTCCTGACAGTCACTACAGGCGTTTCCACCTCAAGAGCCAAGTTAAAGAGAGCATTTGATTGGAGGAGTGCAGCGTTTGCTGTGCATGTGTATCTTGTACCCAAAGATTCTCTATGGCGTTAGATTGGACAAGATCGCGCAAACATCAACAAGCCTGCGGGCAAATGCAGCAGTGGTGTCTTTACACTGGAAAAAAATGTGAGTATACTTTATTTAAAGGATCACTCTAGGATCAGGAACACAAACATGTATTCCTGACCCTATGGTGCTAAACCCACTATATAGGTGGCTTGCACCCTCTGAGCCCCTATAAAAGTTTAAAACTCGCCTTATTTCCAGCGCTGCCCGGGTCTGCCCCCTTTGTGACATGATCAAAACGGCCAATTTTTAGCCAATCCAATGCTTTCCCATTGGCATGGGGCGGGGCCAAATGCTGTTTTGGCCAGTCAGGACCTCCTCATAGAGATGCATTGAATCAATGCATCCCTATGAGGAAAATTCAGCGTCTCCATGCAGAGCGTTGGGACACTGAATGTTAGGGCTACTTACTGTGCAACCCTGACCCAGGAAGCACCTCTACTGGCCATCTGAGGAGTGGCCACTTGGAGATGTCCCTAGGGGCAATGTGAACACTGCCTTTTCACATGAAAATGCCTGAAGGAAGCTATTATACACACCAGAACAACTACATTAAGCTGTAGTTGTTCTGGTGACTATAGTGTCCCTTTAACTGAACTTTTATCAGGAAAGGGGAGTGGATAAGGGTCACAACAATAGAAGGTAATTTATAGTCCTGAACAGGGCCGCCATCAGGGCATGACAACCGTGACAATTGTCACGGGCCCGGCGGCCCTGGGGGGCCCGGCCGCCCGGGCCCCACGTGGATCAGCGGAACTGCCGCCGGTGCATCTGCACCGGGGCCAACACGCTGATGGGGCCCATCAGGTGGCCCCAATCATTTAGGGCCACCCAATGGGCCCTATTATCTTCAGGGGCCCGTTTAGCGCTGTAATAGCGCGACCGGGCCCCTTTAAAAAAAAAAATGCAGCCGGAAGCAAGTGCTGCTGGGAGGAAGTGACGTCCGGTCACTTCCTCCCACTTTACTCCGCGCGGGAAGGAGGACGCAGCCTGAGGAGAAGCAGCCAATGCCCATCATCCCCAGCCACCCTCCTGCGACGAAATGGTAAGGAAGAGAGGAGGGTGGCTGTGGATGAAGTGTATGTATGTATGCCAGTGTGTGTATGCCAGTGTATGTGTGTGTATGCCAGTGTGTATGCTGGTGTATGAATGCCAGTGTATGTGTGTGTATGCCAGTGTGTGTATGCCAGTGTATGTGTGTGTATGCTGGTGTATGAATGCCAGTGTATGTGTGTGTATGCCAGTGTATGTGTGTGTGTGTATGCCAGTGTCTGAATGCCAGTGTATGTGTGTGTGTGTGTATGCCAGGGTCTGAATGCCAGTGTATGTGTGTGTGTATGCCAGTGTATGAATGCCAGTGTATGTGTATGTATGCCAATGTGTGTATGCCATTGTGTATGCCAGTGTGTGTGTGCCAGTGTATGTGTGTATGTATGCCAGTGTGTATGCCAGTGTGTATGCTGGTGTATGAATGCCAGTGTATGTGTGTGTATGCCAGTGTGTGTATGCCAGTGTATGTGTGTATGAATGCCAGTGTATGTGTGTATGTATGCCAGTGTGTGGATGCCAGTGTATGTGTGTATGTATGTATGCCAGTGTATGTGTGTATGTATGCCAGTGTGTGTGTATGCCAGTGCGTGTGTGTATGCCAGTGCATGTGTGTATGTATGCCCATGTATGCCAGTGTATGCGTGTGTGTATGTATGCCAGTGCGTGTATGCCAGTGTGTGTCTGTATGCATGCCTGTGTGTGTCTGTATGTATGTATGTATGCCTGTCGGTATGTATGTATATATCAATATGCAGTATGTATATGTATGTTTGTCAGTATGTATGTCTGCTTGTATATGTGTGTGTGTCTCAGCATCTCCCTATGCATGTGTGTATGTCTGTTTCAGTATTTGTATCTGTTAGTGTGTGTGTATTCCTGTGGGCGGGATTTGGAGGCAGGCTTGAAGGGGGGCCCAGACCTTGAGCTGTGTTAGGGGCCCCAAAATTTCTGATGGCGGCCCTGGTCCTGAAATATGGGACTATAGGTTTGTCACTTTTGTGCTTTTCATATTTGAAAAGCCCTTTTTTGACTGTGACTGTTCACCTTTCAGCCACTTCCACACAAGCAAAGATAGAACCCCGTGATGTCTTTACAAATACATGCATAAACCCCAAATGTAACAGTTTTCCTTAAATTTAGACACTATATGAAAAACAATTAAACCAGGGCGTCAATTTGCATACATCTCAAGTAAGGCTACAGCTGAATTTTAAGCCTTTGTCGAAGGTGTGCCATGGAAAACTTTGTCAGATTCAAGTGTACCTTGGGATCACTTGCTTGCCCATTTTACAGCTCCGCAGGATATGGTTTCTAATAATAATACTTGCCAAATCTGTCTCGGTACCATCCTCTTACTGGTAATTAGAACGGAGCCTGGATAACTTGCTAATTGGGGTTCCGTACTAAATCCATCCATTATTCAAGTGCATTGAAAAAAGTGCTTTCACTATCATGCTTGGGACTTGGTGATTGGCAGTCAATCATAAATGCACACTTATACTGGCATTCAGTTCATGGGCAGAGTGCTTCAGACATCCACTGTGTTACTTGCCACACAGTGGTGTTTGGTGTTGCAGGTTCACCGATTGGTTGTAGTGCTCTGATTGGTTGTGCACGTACTATAGCCCAGGGACTGCAAGTGCAATGCATTTTCTGTTGCACCCGGGTTCGGAACTGAACCTTAGGACGAATCTGCCTATGCAAATTGAGTGTAGAATTTCTAATAAAACAAACTGTAAGCGTTTATTTACTAAAGAAAATAATTGTAATTGTACCATTTGCAGTTTAATGAATAACTTCTGAAATTCTTAACAATAAAAATAATTTCCTGAATATCTTTGTAGAAATTTCAGTACTTGTGTAATTGTGTGTTGAAAATAGAACTGTTCATGATACAACACTTTTTATATGTTAAATTGCCAACATCTTCTGGTGGGCTGTACATCATGTAAAGGAAGCCCTGTTTGCATGACTCGGAACCAAATTTACAAGATGTATACGTTTTGTTTTTTAATGTAAATTAACATGCTTTTCTAGATTTATTTTTTTACTTTTTGTTTTATTTTCTCCCCGTATTATTCACGGATATGATTATGGATAAACATAAATGAAATTACCATTTGCTTACATTTGGAATATAATATATGGATTCAAATATTAAGGCAGCTGTCTGTTTATAAAATGTTATACGTTTAAATAATAATTATTATTATTATTATTATTGCCATTTATATAGCGCCAACAGATTCCGTAACGCTTTACAATATTAATTTTAGAACTTCTTAGCCTATTTTTTTGCACCTTTTTAGAACTTCTTAGCCTTTTTTCACCAATGCCCATTTGGTGAACACCTGTGCTTTTAGTCAATGAAGCCTATCAGGAAAACATAAAAACTGGCACTTTAATGTTACATTTTGTTGGGAATAAAAAGTTTTTTTCTTTTGTTACATAGATGGGGCCAAAATGTTTAACCCAAACCAAAGCTGATTATGACAAAAAAAAAAAAATACCCCCCCCAAAAAAATCAACAAATAAGGTGCAGAGGCAGAATGGGCCGAAACGGATGCCTTAAAAGGCATTCTGTCCCTTTTATACAAAACCAATCACAAAATGCAGCTTAACTATTAACATTACCACTAATAAACCATCGGAAACAACGTTCAGTTCATAGTAATGGTTGACTGAGGATGCTGAGAGTAGTAGTTCAGGGTAACAGGTGATCTCCTAGTGATAGAGTGACAGATGACCACCCACTAATCTCTCGTTCTACAAGTGGAACTCTGTGAAGTCATGTATCCAGTTGATTTCCTCCCACTGTGACCTCTAAGGCTGCATTGCATTAGCCTGTAATGGAAGCAGTGGCGGCGTTGAGGGGAGATGTCGTCCGTCACAAACCCCCCTCGCCTCTCCGCCTTCCCCTCCCGCCTGTGCTGTTTAAATGGGCCAAGTTGGGAGAAGCGGCGGCGGCGGCGGAGGCAAAGCTTGTTTGGTCAGAGAGTCTGTGAACTCCAGTGTGTGTGTGACATGGAGCATTAACAGGGATCCCCCTCCACACAGCCCTTCCCTAACCCCGGCCGGCGCTGAGCGGAGCCAGGCACAGCTCTCCATCTCTCTCTATCACATGGGGACAGACAGATAATCACTCAGTCACCATTATTAGCCTCATTAATACACAGACAGGCTGCGGGGAGCCGGCAGGTGGATCAGGGGATCCAGGACAGGGGTCTGAGAACCCAGCTCAGGATCAGTGCTCAGAGGGAGAGCAAGGGGACAACAAGCCAGGGGTAGCAGGGGTGAGGAGTGCAGCAAGCCTGGGGTAGCAGGGGTGAGGAGTGCAGCGAGCCAGGGGTAACAGGGGTGAGGAGTGCAGCGAGCCAGGGGTAACAGGGGTGAGGAGTGCAGCGAGCCAGGGGTAGCAGGGTTGAGGAGTGCAGCAAGCCAGGGGTAACAAGGGTGAGGAGTGCAGCAAGCCAGGGGTAACAGGGGTGAGGAGTGCAGCAAGCCTGGGGCAACAGGGGTGAGGAGTGCAGCGAGCCAGGGGTGAGGAGTGCAGCGAGCCAGGGGTAACAAGGGTTAGGAGTGCAGCAAGCCAGGGGTAACAGGGGTGAGGAGTGCAGCAAGCCAGGGGTAACAGGGGTGATGTGTGCTAGGTAAGGCAGGGGGGAGAAGAGTGGTAAAGTGATCAAGGGGGCACAGAGTGCAGCTATCTCACCCAGGGTGCTGGTTAGTGTGGGCACAATAGGGTAGGGGGGGCGGGGGGATAGTGCAGGTCGATAGGGGATGATTAGGGCACAAAGAGTGCAGGGGGCTGTTCAACTGTGGATCAGTGGCGCACAAGGAGTGTAGGGGGCAGATTGATAATGGTACATGGGGGGGGGGGCAGGTTGATAGGGACTCAGTAGGAAACACGGAGTGCTAACTTAACTCAGGGGGCAGGTTGATAGGGACTCAGAAGGGGACACAGAGTGCTAACCTCACTCAGTGGGGCAGGTTGATAAGGACTCGGAGTGCTAATCTCACTTAGGGGGGTGGAGGGGGGGGGGGCGGTTGATAGAACTAATTAGGGCAGATCTTTGATTTGATAGGGACTCAGTACAGGGGGGAGGTTGATAGGGGCTCAGTACAGTGGGGCAAGTTGATAGGGGTTAATTAGGGCACAGGCAGTACAAGGGGCAGATTGGTAGGGGCTTAGAGTAGAGGTACAAGTTGATGGGGGTTGATTAGGGCACAGGGAGTGCATGGGGGCAGGTTGATAGGGGCTCAGTAGGACACGGGGGGCAGGTTGATAGGGGTTCAGTAGTACAGGGGTCAGGTTTATAGGGGCTCAGTAGGGCACGAGGAGGGAAGATTATTGGGGCAGTAGGGCACAGGGGAAGGTTGATAGGGGCTCAGTAGGGCACAGGGGAGATTAATTGGGGCTCAGTAGGGAACAGGGGTTAATTGGGGCTCAGTAGGGCACAGGGGAAGGTGGATAGGGGCTCAGTAGGGTACAGGGGGGAAGGTGGATAGGGGCTCAGTAGGGCACAGGGAGTGCAGATCTCACGGGGGGGGGGGGGCAGGTCGATAAGGGATCAATAAGCATTTCCTAAAGCAGCATGATGTCTGGGGTGGCTCAGCCCTCTCCGTGTCATGTCTCAGTCGGGCTGGGAGGCAGATCGGCAGAGGAGGCGCAGGGAGAGGAGCTCTGAAGCCCGGGAGCTTGGGGAAGCGAGTCGCCACCGCTGCAGCCTGATCCGGGAGAGCGCCAGCCAGGGCGACCAGGAGCCAGGGGCGACCCCGGTGGAATCGGGCGCTATCTGTGGGGACACCATGCCGGCCATTAAGAAGGAGAGACTGGATCGGGAGGAACTAGCCCTGGCAGCCTTTAACCAGCCCATGGAGACCATGCCGGGCTACCTGACTGCTGCCATCCCCGTGGTGACCCCTCACCAGCCGGCTTACGAGCATCTCTTTACCCCCCACCGTGCCTACCTGGGCTTGCATGAGCCCCACCACCCCCCGCTGCCCGATGACCTGATGCTGGAGAGGTTCTCCTCCATCCCGGACTTTCAGCCCCTGTTTGACCAGGGGGAGCCCTGCATTGAGGTGGAATGCGGGGAGAACAAGGCTTTGCTCTACATCCAGAAGTTGTGCCAGGGGAGCAAGGGACCCTCTATCCGCTACAGGGGGGACTGGCTAACCCCCAATGAGTTCCAGTTTGTCAGCGGCCGGGAGACTGCCAAGGACTGGAAGAGGAGCATCAGACACAAAGGTACCAAGTCAGAGGGGCAAAGTTACAGCCAGAGCCCTGACCCTAATATTGGAGGACTCAGCCCTAACAATTCATATTATTGGAGGACAGAGACCCTGATCCTTTTATTGGAGGACTGAGCCCTAACTATCTATATTATTGGAGTACTGAGCCAAGACTATCCCTATTATTGGAGTGCTGAGACCCTTACCCTTTTACTGGAGGACTGAGATAGAGCCCTAACTATCCTTATCATTGGAGGACTAAGACCCTGACCCTAATATTGGAGGACTGAGACAGAGCCCTAACTATCTCTATTACTGGAGGACTGAGCCCTAACTATCTATATTACTGGAGGAATGGGCGACCTAAAACCAAGCCCCCCTACCCACCAACACACACACACCTTCTTTTCTGGCTAAGCCAGGGGATCTGAGTGTGGGATATTTAGCAACAGGACAGGGAACTGGTTAATTCAGCTGTTGTCTCTCTTAACCCATAGAATGTTGAATGGGTTAAACCGCATTGCTCCTGACTCTGTGCCCCTGTCCGGAGTTGGCACATGTTATTTGCTGTGGTCTAGTGTGGGTAATCCTAGTTACCCCCTGTTGCTGTCAGGTGTCTCAGTGCTGATTCTAGAGGCTAGATTGAGCAATATTGCAAATGGGGAGAGCAGATTGATGCCTGTGGATTGTTTAGTTTTACTGCAATTATAGTAACTTTATTATCTGACTAAACTGGATGACGGTGGATTATACATATAACTTTTTATTTTAATTTTTTTTTTTTACTGAAAAACTTTATTTTGGGATTTCCTGAGTGGGAATCAAGTTAACCAGTTAAAGATACAGCGCTGACATTCTTGTCACTCAATATTATCAATTATCCCCCCCCCACACCCCTAAAAGCAGCGTTTTGAGACCACCAGAATTAATCAATATCGCAGATTCTCTGTTTGTCACATATTAAGGTGCCCATTAATTTGACAGTCACTATGACTTACATAGAATTTGGATAATTAGCCAGCATAATGCTGAGAATGATTAACCATGCATGGCAAAGAGCTGGGCATTCTTCTGGCATTCGACGGGTTAATGTTTGATACATTGTTGCACATGATGCTCCCCAAACATTCTGGCAGCTGGATAATTAACCCTTTAATTCCATTTTGCCCAGCTAGTTAATTTTTAACTCTTTAGCAGTCAGTGTATCCCCCTCTTCCTGGCAGTCAAATTCGGGGCGGGGGTTAGCATCCAAACGTGGTTATAGGAAGCTAGCAATGACACAACCCCAAACTGCCCTCCCCTGCTGGATCTGCCCTCCCTCCTCTCCCTTCCCTCTCCGGTGACCCCGGCTCTCCGGATGGGGATTTGGCACTGAGACGCAGGCTGCTGGGGTTGGAGAGGTAAATGGGGAGGGATCGGGGACCCCCTCCCCCCTGCAGGCAAACCATGGGCACCCACAGGGGCATGGACTCCGAAAACCCATAGAGTTTACTAGGGAAAAGGCTGTTGTCAGAGTGTGTTCTTTTTGGGGGTGTGGGGGCCGAGAAGAAGAGATCCAGATCATTATAATCAATTGACTTGGCAGGGACACCACTGATTGACAAGTGTCAGAGCTGTCCAGTGAGGAATGGGTTAATGTCTGAGTGCATTGGAGAAGGTGTTAATCATTGGTGTATTTTATTAGTATATGACTGTCTGGATTCCATTAATTGCCTTTTATAAAGTACATTTGCTAAAATATATATATCTGCATTTGTATGGGATAATGTATGGAAGGGGAAAATTCAAGCAAAAGGTCTCTATAGCATATGCCAAGGGGTGCATAGGTATATTTGTGTAATTGTGATTATTCTTTAGACTGTTGGGTATACTTTGATCATGGGTATACCGTTAGAACTTGTGGTCTGTTACAGAGTAATATCCACTGTATTCTGCTCACTTGCTGTTCCCACTAGCAATAAAGAGGTTAATAGCAAACGCACAGAGTGTGTCATGCCATGGTGGGAAGTAAGCAAGGAGGGAGGTGTAAGGGGGAGACAGGGCAGCTCTAATGAGAGGTCATTAACCCCCTAGAAAGCTCACAGGCAGTGAGAGGAGGAGGAGGAGGGGGTGTAACAGATTAGGAGTCTGTTTAGATGACTATGGCTCTGCACCCAGTCCCTACAGCTCAAAGGAAAACCTTGTGAACACAGTGTGTACTCCATAATCCCATAGATACATCATTTTCAAAGGGTCACCACTTATGTCTGATCCACTGTTCTATGACTGTGCATGAGCCCATTCTATATACAGATATCAATTTTCTGTGTGTTTTTTTGTGTGTAATTTGTAAGATATTGTAAGTTGGTGTCTGCGGCTGCCTTATCTGAAGTTAGTTTTGCGTGCTTAATAATATTATTGAACGTATTTCTGTATTTTATACCCTTTTGTCTAATGCCTGAATTGTGAAGCAGTGTGTTGATACCAGTTTTGTACTGGTGTTTTGGTGTGTGTGTGTGTGAGACACTCCATCTCACCTGTCACTGTGTGTGTCATGTATATTCTATGTATGTTATCATCCCTGTCTCCTGTTTTCAATGGTAATAATTGGCTGCCTGAATCTCATCTTTCTTTCTCTCTTTCTCTTTCATGTGCTTCTCCCAGGGAAAAGTTTGAAGACTCTTATGTCCAAAGGAATCTTACAGGTACATCCTCCAATCTGTGATTGCCCTGGGTGTCGAATTTCGTCTCCAGTGGTAAGATTATTGCTCAGACTCTGCATTTTAACCCCTCTTTCTGCATCAATTGATGTAGGGTTCGGTCTGAGAGATTTTGACACATTAGTCTTAATGGATGTATGTGCGTTTGTCTGTCTGACAGATGTTTATGGCTTGGGGTCTGAACAGGATATGGGTTTTAGATACAAGCAAGTCTCTTTTGGGCTAAGCCACCACTTTCCTACAGACAGGCAAAGAAAAATCTAACAAACAAACCCACATTTAATACTACAAGGCATATAGCATTTATCCACAATGATTCACATCCTCCTATCTCATTTGTTTTGGAAAACGGATGTGTCAACTCAAATTTTAGAGTATTTTATGATTATATTGCCCTCTATATTTTCCAAAGTAGCTTCAGAGTGACTGCAGTTTTAAAACCCCCAAACACGCTAATGGTGCTGAATAAATAATGTTTATTGATGTAAACGGCAATCCTATTTCAGATGTCTGTCTATTGATTTAGAAGAACGGTGAATTTTTAACGCAGTGCTGTGCCAACCCCTGCCCCCTCTCCGCAAAGGACATTTCAAAGCAGTGATTTGTTATGCTATTGTGGCACTCACAGGTTTGAAAAGAATTCGTCCAAAAGTGTTGTTGTGCCCACTGTTGTCAATCTATGCTGTGTATAAATATATATATATATATATGATATTGTATGCAGAAATTACTGAAATATAACTACTTTTCCATAGCTATGCCTCCAGGATTATGTAGTGGTCTATGATTTTGTATGGAG